AGGCCAGCCCATGGCCTGGGGAGGGATTTGAGGGGGCTCTTTGAGGCCAGCCCATGGCCTGGGGAGGGGTTTGAGGGGGCTCTTTGAGGCCAGCCCATGGCCTGGGGAGGGGTTTGAGGGGGCTCTTTCAGGCCACCCCCAGGCCTGATGGTGCTTCAGAGGGAGACTACCCTGTAAACAGTAGGATAAAACTCAGGACGATGCAGAACAAGCCCATTCCCGGGGGGATCCCAGCGGGGTTCCCTGACCCTTGTTGGAGGGGAAACCCCCTATGGCAGGGCCACCCCCTGCCCGCCCTTCCAGCCCCTCCCGTGCCCTCCCCAGGAGATGTACGGCTTCTTCAGCAGCCTGGACACCAAGGGCACCAACTACAAGTACGAGGTGCCGCTGACGGGGCCGGCGGTGGAGCTGCACAACTGCATGGCCAAGCTGCTGGCACACCCCCTGCAGCGCCCCTTCCAGAGCCACGCGGCCTACGGGCTGCTCGAGGAGGACGAGCCCCCCGAGGTCGAGGCCACCGTCTGAGCCCCCGGGGGGGGTGGGATTGGCTGGGGAGGGGGTGTCGTGGCGGCTCCTGCGGGGTTTTGTTGGGACGGGGAAAGAGAGAGGTGTTTGCCTGACTGGTGGTGTCGTGGTGCTGCTGCGGGGTCTGGGCTTGGGGGGGGGTTGGGGGACCGGGGTCACCCCTCCCGGCCCTGTGTGGGTGCTGCTGGGGAAGGGTTTTGGGAGGTGCTGGGTGGAGTTGGTGAGGAGTTCTGGGAGGCACTGGGCAGTGCTCGTTCAGGGCACTGGGAGCAATGGTGCAGGCACTGGGAGGCACTGGGAGCGCTGGTGCAGTCACTGGGAGCGCTGGTGCAGTCACTGGGAGAACTGGTGCAGGCACTGGGAGCACTGGTACAGTCACTGGGAGGCACTGGAAGCACTGGTGCAGTCACTGGGAGTGCTGGTGCGGTCACTGGGAGGCACTGGGAGCGCTGGTGCAGGCACTGGGAGCACTGGGAAGCACTGAAAGGCACTGGTGCAGTCACTGGGAGCACTGGGAGCGCTGGTGCAGTCACTGGGAGCGCTGGTGCAGTCACTGGGAGCATTGGGAGCGCTGGTGCTGGGAGATACCAACGCCGGCCGCTGGGGGGCGCTGAGGTTCAGGGGGCGGGGGCACGGAGCGCTTTGGCTCCGCCTCCTTTGTCATACGTCACTGGTAAGAGGTGGGTGCGGCCGCCCTCGGCCGGCTCCCATTGGCTACTCGCCAGCCAATGAGCGGCGGCGCGGGGGGTTTGAACGTGCGCGGGGCGGGATGAGCGGAACGTAAGGGGGGGACACCGGGGAATACCGGGACATCGGGGAATACCGGGGGGACACTGGGATCCAGGGGGGACACCGGGGAATACCGGGATCCTGGGGGGACACTGGGATCCTGGGGGGACACCGGGATCCAGGGGGGACACCGGGGAATACCGGGATCCTGGGGGGGACACTGGGATCCTGGGGGGACAACTGGGATCCAGGGGGGACACCGGGGAATACCGGGATCCTGGGGGGGACACTGGGATCCTGGGGGGACACCGGGATCCAGGGGGGACACCGGGGAATACCGGGATCCTGGGGGGACACTGGGATCCTGGGGGGACACCGGGATCCAGGGGGGACACCGGGGAATACCGGGATCCTGGGGGGGACACTGGGATCCTGGGGGGACACCGGGATCCAGGGGGGACACCGGGGAATACCGGGATCCTGGGGGGGACACTGGGATCCTGGGGGGACACCGGGATCCAGGGGGGACACCGGGGAATACCGGGATCCTGGGGGGGACACTGGGATCCTGGGGGGACACCGGGATCCAGGGGGGACACCGGGGAATACCGGGATCCTGGGGGGACACTGGGATCCTGGGGGGACACCGGGATCCAGGGGGGACACCAGGGAATATCGGGATACCGGGGGATACCAGGATACCGGGGGGACACCAGGATCCAGGGGGGACACCGGGAGATACCGGGATACGGAGGGGGACACCGGGACACGGGGGGGTACCGGGACCGATACTGGGATCGGGGGTGGCACGGGGGGACACCGGGACTGGAATGGGAGCACCGGGACCAAGGTGGACACACTGGGGCTGGGAGGGGACACCGGGACAAGGGGAACGCACCGGGACTGGGGGGATACCGGGACAGGGGGGATACCGGGACAGGGGGATACAGGGTCCCCCCCGATGGTGCTGGAGCCCCGCTGCGGGGTGGTGGCACTTGTGTGACCCCCGGGGGGGGGCCGTGACCTTCCTTGACCTGCGGCCCGGGCTGGGGGTGACCCCCGCTCCCGATCCCACACTCCAGGCGTTCCCGGGAGCTGACGCCGCTCCACGAGGCCGCGGCCCGGGGGTGCCGCCGGTGCCTCGGGCTCCTCCTGCGGGAACAGGGGCACCTGCGGGACCAGGTGAGCGGGGACAGGGACAGCCCCGGGCACGGGGACAGCACCCACGGGACCCTCCTCGTCGGTGGGGTGGGGGAGCTGTGTCACCCCGTGGTGGCCCTGGCGGCAGTGACAGCGATGTCCCCTCCCCGCAGGATGGAAAACCGGCCGTGGACGTGGTGCTGGAGCAGGGCTGGCCCCTCGTGGAGGGTGAGGTCCCCTGGGTGCCCCCTTGGCTGGGCTTGGGGGTCCCACCCAGCCCCCCAGTTTGGGCTGGGTACTGATTCCTGTCCTCTCCCCAGCCCCGGGGGGGTGCAGGAGGGCCCTGTCCTTCCTGACCGAGGATGACTCCGATGGCAGCATCTCCCCTGGGTTCCCTGAGGACAATTCCGAGGCCGGACCCCTCAGCAGCACCCGCAGGTCCCTCCTGGAGGAGCAGGAGCTGGGGGGCCACTGTGTCCCCCCGCTGTGGCAGGGCCGTGCCCCACAGCCCCCGGCCCTCCCCCCCTGGCTCCGGGGGGACCCCAGGGGCTCTGCTGTCCCCCCCCAGCCCCTGGCCTCCAGCACACTGCTCTGGGACAGGGACGAGCTCCAGGAGGGACCCCCGAGCTGGCCTGGGGGGGGAAGGACGAGAGCTCCCGCCTGGGCTCCCCCCCAGCCCAGTGTTGGGGACATCCATGTCCCCTGCCCCCAGTTTGGCCCCGGTGGGTCCCTGAGAGACCCCCAGTGCTGCAGCAGGACCTTGGGGGGACACAGAGCCCCCCTACCCTGCCATGGCCTGAGCAGCTGCTCCAGGATGTCCCCGAGCCCTGGTGACAGTGACATCCCTCAGCACCGCCCTGGTGTCCCCTGGGGAGGGGTGGGGGGTGCTGCCCCCAAAATGGGGGGGATGGTGCCCAGGGTGGGGGCTGGGGGGTGGGACCCCGGCAGCCCTGGGGACCCTGACAGCCCTGGGGACAGCAGCAGCCCTGGGGACAGCAGCAGCCCTGGGGACAGCAGCAGTGCCACCGAGTGCTTTGTCACTGCCCTGGGGACCCCGGAGCCCAGTGAGGCCGGGGGGGGCCGGGGGGCTCAGCCCCGCTGTTCCCCCCCGCCCCAGGCAGCCGGGGGGCTGGGAGGGGGTGCAGCCCCCTCCCCAACGGGAGCTGCCCCCCGGGAGCTGCCCCCTGCCAGCCCCCCCCGCGCGGAGCGGGCTCAGGGTGGGGGTTTCTGGGGGGGCTCCGGGGCAGCCCCTCGCTCTGGGGGGGGCCCAGGCGCGGGTGATGTGGGGGAGCTGCTTGCCCGGCTCCGGGGCTGCAGCCTCCGGGGGTCCCCGCCCTGCACCCCGCGGTCCCCTCGCAGCCCGGCCGGTGTCACCGCCGGGGATGTCACCCCCCGGGGCCAGGAGCCCCCCGGGCACCGCCACATCACCCCCAGGACCAGGAGCCGCCTCCGGGCGGTGGCAGAGCGGCTCAACTCCTCCTCCTCCTCCTCTTCCTCCTCCCTCTTCAACGGGACACTGCCGATGCCCCGGAGACCCCCCAGGATCAGATCCCCCCGGGGGGTCCCCAGGGACCCTGCCACCCCCCCGGGACACTGTGTCACCCCGCGGGATGAGGATGTGTCCGGGGAGGACGGAGAGGGGACAGACTCTTTGGAAGACACTCAGATCCTGCCCGGAGCCCCCAGTTCACCGCCGGGGGGGGTCGGCAGCTCCCCCGGCTCCAGCCCCACGGTCCTGCTGTGCCCTGGGGACCCCGGGGCCCCCCCAAATCCCCCATCAGGCCCTCGGGGCTCCCCCCACCCCGGGGTGCTGGAGGGTGGCTCTGGGTGGCAGCGCCACTCACCCTCGGGGACGCCCCAGTTCCAGTGGCCCCACGGGAGCTCCAGGCGCCTTCTGGCCCCACAAGCATCCAGCAGTGCCGGGGGGGACCTGGGCACCCCGTCCGTGCCACTGTCACCCCCTGGCTGTGGCCCCCACTGCTCCGGGGAGCGTCGAGAGGACGAGGGGCAGGGACTGTCACCCCCCGAGTGTCACAGTCCCGGCACAGGGGCCACCCCCAGCCCCGAGGACGCCCCGGGCCGGGATGGCCGAGTGTCCCCGGTGTCCCCGGGGCCCCTCTCAGACCAAAGTCTGCGGCGGCGGCTGCGGGAGCTGGGGGAGGACCCGGGACCCGTCACCGACCTCACCCGGGGGCTCTACCGGCGGCGGCTGCGGGAGCTGGGCACGGGACACGGCGGGGAGCCGGGGGGTGAGTCTGGGCATCCCATCCTGGGGGACCCACCCCGGGGTTCCCATCCGGCCTGGCAGCTCCCGGTGGGGATGGGGATGGGGGTTGGGGGCCGTGGTGATGGGCACGGGGGGCTGCACTGAGCCCACGGTGATGGGCACGGGGGGCTGCACTGAGCCCACGGTGATGGGCACGGGGGGCTGCACTGAGCCCACGGTGATGGGCACGGGGGGCTGCACTGAGCCCACGGTGATGGGCACGGGGGGCTGCACTGAGCCCACGGTGATGGG